TTTCCTGTCGTTTTCTACAGTATAGATTACTTAGTGTAGGGTTATTGGTAGGATAAGAATGTTTTCTTTAGGTTGGGAAGCAATCTATCTATGAGTCACTCTTTATTGATTTTGAACTGCCAGGGAGGATCTAATGAAGAAAGATGTCATATATTCACTCAATACTCTGCTTAGGTCCATTAGACTTGGAACTTCCTTAAACAGTTTGAGTTATCTCCCCTTTACCATATGACTTGCACATTTATATTTGTTTTGTATATAAGTTGTGTCCTTTTTTTCAGTTTTTCATATATGCTGATTCATACAAATGCATGTAGGGGAGAACTGTTATAGGCATAACCTGTTGTTGCTCCCATTCATACACCATCATAAATAAAATTTGTTGAAATGAAATTGTTTACTTTTGGGCTAGTTGGCGATGATGCATTATGGGATGTTCCCAACGTCGCTCGTCTACACCCAACTACGCATGTCTTGACCAAGTTTCAGACTTAGCCGATATAGTGTTTTAAACTTATCGAGCAAAGAGAAACAACTCTTCCTGGTTCTGTAACTCTGGTCAAATACTGGTACAGTGTAATTCTCAAGACTGACGGATATATTATTTTATCCCATTAAATATTACCAACCGTTAAAAGTATTGTAATACAGGGAGAATGTGTGCATATGTCATCGGTAAATACATTGCTTGCTTTTCTCATAATTAATTAACCACATGATTTTCCCCCCCTGTGTTTGTCAACGTCATTACTGAAATACCGGACAGAAAGGATCTGTACTTTTTCTGTAAATCTGTAAACAGGCAAACGTTACATTTATCTCCCTCAGATAGAACAATGGACTAACCCGGGTTTTAATGAGGTCGATCTATTTGTAAGGTTGAACCATATTTGTGAGTTATCACAAAAAACGTATATTTCTCAAATGGCATACATGTAGTCCAACCAACTTAGTAAAATTGAGATGAAGTTGTCCTATTTTTCTGTGCGGGTTTTGTAACGCGCGTCAATATGACACTTTTAGCCCACAGAACATAGGGCATCCCACCGTTATTGGACCATGTTATACACATACAATTAGATAATAACCATGATTGATTTATAGATTATGACCGGCAAAAGATGGATTGCGATGTTTTCTCTCTTTTAAACATGTTCAACAAAATATATTTATCAGTACTATTGAAACGTGATAAGGTGTGTTAACGACAGGGATTGAAGAATAGGCTTATTACGAACTTATTAAATATGTATTCGATTTAATAACAGTGTTTCTGTACACTGTTTTATCTTGTAAAGATAACCTTGCTATATTATAGGTGCTTTTTTGTACTTCTGTTATCATTTTTTTTTTTTTTACTTAACTTCAGTCCTTTTGGTGCAATGATGGACATTGCACTTGATTAATACATTTTAAATTATTTTGCTTGTGGTAATGATATGTTTAAACCAGAGGAAATATTTGGGGCAAAGGTTTATTGAATTGTCGAGCGCTTGAAAACCCTGAGCACTCATCCCTTCAATGGCCCTGATTCAAGAATGTAACACCTCTAAGCTCCGTTTGGTGTACGCAATCGGATACGTATAAAGACGTAACACGTCTCTGACGCACTGTCACCCTGATGGGGAAATCAATATATCATGTTTTGTGTTTATTCCGAGCGTTGCAAGCTTATCTGATTAAAATATTTTAATTTCTTGACTAGTGATCATGCATGTGTATTTAACTGCTCAAGCAATAGCTGTCTTCTCCCACTCCCCTCTAACATGTTTATAAACTCGGTGTTGAATTTATTGATACCACACACAGCAGCAGTAAAATGGGTCAGCGAACCATGATGGAGACGTTTGTACCTGTAAGGTCAGTGGTCTGTAGTAGGAACAAGGCACAAGTGTTAAAGCTAAAAACAGATAATTATGAAATACAATTGCAAGAAGGACAATAAATATCACATTTGAATGCCTTCAAATTAGAAACCTTTGCGAGAAATTGAATTTATATCAATACAAGACAGTTAACACATTAAAAAGTTGTATGTAAATTAGAATTTGATGCAACGATTTGGAGCCTTCACAAACTAATACTACTGTACAATTTCATTTTACTTTTTACTTTTTTAGGCAAATTGATAATTAATATTTCTTAACTTACAGGTATGTTATCTACGTAGAGCTCAGGCCACACGCAATAAAAAACGCATTATATAGAACAAAATCGAGACAGAAGTATTGGCAGTACTAAACTGATCCTACATTGTATATGACTAGGAATGATGAAATACCTTACACGCATATCCCTTTACAGTATTACTTTTATAGTTTATTAATAGAGATCATTTTCTAAAGGACTAGTCTATTTTGTATGTAGACACACCGCGGTGTTTATTTACCCACTGTAACGTCCAGTGCACATTACAATAATATTCCCACCGACGTATGATTATAGAAGACACGCGATACCTATTTGATATTTTATATTGACATATCAGAGTATCTGTTGATACATGTAACACTCAACTGTTTAGGCTATATGTGTTGAAAATGATAATTTGTTTTATCGTCGTCTTGTTTATATTCTTAAACATGATTAGCTCTAATGAAAAGAAAGAAAGAGGCATGTTTAAGGTATAAACATTTCTTAAAAGGAATATTATTCACAAAACTATTTACACTAAAGAATTTATGCTAAAAAAGAAAAACAGTTATGGCCGGCGTATGAATCGACATCAGCACCCCTCCTTTCGATTTAACATATTTTCCGTTTCAGGTACATGTGAAGTAATGGGTAATTCTAAATCCAGCATAAACTGATACCACAACAATAAAATGAACATATTTTCACTATTCAGCAGGACCATATTTCTTCATTATCATGTGATGTACTTATTAGGTCTGTTCAACAATATGCCTCGTTTTGAGTTTCGTATGTCGGTTATATAGCTAGGACAAGGGACAATGAGACACAGATAAGTGAACGCTGTAAAGGAGAAAACCGATCAAGACAGGTTTACCGACACAATTTTCTTTCTGAAAATAAAATGCACTTCCATTTTGATTGACACAATAATCATAATAATGAATTAACTTTCCTTGCCAAAGAAACCTATCGGTTTATAATCAGAATGTACCTCATGCCTTCGACATATATAAAGTGTTTGCCAGTCGAAAACTGCATAATATATCCAGGTAAGTTTAGACATGTTTACGGCAGGCAACAGAAAAAAATTAATAATACTGAACAATGCACTGCAGCCTTATCAAATTACCGTGTAATTTTGTAGTTTAGTAGAGCAGAGCATTTACTACCTCATTGTATACCTGTGCGCTTGCGATAGAACAGACACAAATCTCCCGCTTTATACGATACGCAGTATATGTATAATGGAGGTGTGTACTATCTGGCTGTTGGAGGCTCTGTGTATCTTATCAACTTTAATGATTGTCAACACATCAGGTATGATTGGATGTGCATTTTCTGTTTATCCTTCATTCTAATAGTAAACCTATACGTCATGTTGATCTGGACCTACATGTACATCCCGTAGCATAAGCCCCATGTGTTTTACCATATAACACATTGCTTGTATAGAAGGTAGGGGTAAATATATAGATTGTACCCGATGTTCATGTTTCAAACTTCCGCGTTGAGTTGTTGTGACATAGTATCAAACGGTATGCATTTATTTCAGGATATGTACATAGACAATATACTAGCTGTGTTTCAAATATTGCTCTCAATGGTGATTTGTCGCTATTGTTCTTTCTTTTGTATTAACATTGAGCGATTGATATGATTATACAACACTGTTCGCAAGCCAATGCCAGTAAAACATCAGTCTTTCATAATCGGTATGAACCAATATATTCAACCTACAACTGATTTGTATGCATTAACCGAGGGGCTTATTGTCTTTATATATTAGAAGTATCATACTATATCTATTTGGTGTTTACGTAAGGTAAGTGTTCTGTGTTTTTAAGGAGCAGATTTCTCCGAAAAGTTTACGACCTCATATTGTTTACACTGTATACATTACTTCCTTGTCTCATTGGTCTCCTAAGTAATAACTATGATCAAACTCGGATACTGGATCCGAACAACTTCAAAATATATATCTGCACGTTTTTTCAAGACGGAAACATGAAGATATGCATATCATTTAAACAGTCACAATGAGACAATATCACAAAAAGAAATAAACCAAAACAGAGTAGTTAGGTATGTGAAGCATGCTGTTGTAATTGCATATCACCTCGGTTAGCTTGTAACCGAAGCCTTATTATTGTTCAAAATTCATCTTGAATACGTGAGGTCAATGAATTAATACAAACAATCTTAATAAAACTAGTAAGATTTTTTGTTGTTGTAAGTGTTCGTGTAGACACGGCGCCTCTGCAGACATTACCCATACCACCATGTACGCAAGTCATCTGTTAAATCATCTAAATGTACCTTTCTGCAAAAATCTCAATATAAACAGGTTATCTTCTTACTTTTTGTTTCGTATGTTTATATTTTGTTTTTGTGCCATTTTTTTTTCGTGGAGGGCATCGTTTATGACTTCTTTTTGGCGATCATTTTGCTGGACAAAATTGTCGATACAGATTCAATTGAGTTCTCTTTTCAACATTTTTTTTTTTCTTAACTTACTTTTACAATGATATTAATTATAATTTACAACGATTATAATAACATTTGTTATAAACTTAGTCATAACATCCGACAATTCCAATCTTTGACCTCTGTTTAGTACTTACTTGAGTTGCAGTAACCCCGTCTGCCATTTTGATTTACAGACATACCTCTTCTCGCGATTGTCTTCATGCCGTGCTTACACGAACAGCCACGGCTATATATTTTCTCTCTAGCTTTACTCACATTTTCTGTTCAATTATTACCTGATATCACATCTTCAAAATTATTGTTTAACCATAATTAGGCAACGGTTTCTAGCTTACCGAGAGGGTATGCTCTAACATCAGCATATTTCATAAGTGATAACTGTTTTTGTTCGTTTATGGCTTTTTTAAATTCTATTTATTAGCTGCATATGCATTGTGCCATATATTTCAAAACGGAGAAGAAATCTGGATAATTTAATTAGCAGTTTCAATTAAAAGACAAACATAAGTTAAAAAGGAAATCATTAAAAAGAAAATAACAAAGTCCTGGCTCCTTTTTCAAACTATTGTGTTGGTATATTTTATACTTTTTTTACATTTATTAAAATCGGTTCTCCATTAATTTCTGCTCATCATTTCTGTCTTTTAATATTTGATTTTACCATCAACACATGCATACATGGATGACATTGCAATGCTGAGAATAGTGACAATGATTAGTACTTTAGATCAGTCATATATATATATATATAGATATACAATAATAATTCATTATTTTACAGTTAACACCAATCGTGAGCCAAATGTCAAAATCACCACTCAAAGTTCAAACTTCAATGCTGCATATAGTAGTGGCAAGGCAGTAGATGGCTGTAAAAAACAAATCTTCGACAAACAAAGCTGTTGTTCACACACACAAACAGGTCAACAGGAGGCATGGTGGCAAGTAGATCTAGAGGAACTGATCGTTATGGAATACGTCAAAATATACTTCAGAGGTGAGTAATTGTATATTTTGATTTTGTATTGAACAATAAAACAAAATTATGCCGTCTAAAGGTTTTCCGTGTTAGTCGTGACCTTAAGACGGCACTGCATTGTTTGATTGCATGTCGTGAAAGATGACTAATGTAACTCCACTCCATCCTCATCCCACCAGTATTCATATGGCACTGGTTATTGCAAAGTCGATGATCCCGGACCTGAGATCATTGACATTCAAAAACTATATTTACATAATTAGGTATAGAAGGACATTTTATTTTAGCTATGCATGGTTTAACGGCCCGTTAGGTCTACCCCGAGAATGATAAAAACAACGAGGATAATGATATCTTGACATCATTTAACATAATAACACAGAAAGCAAAATGCAATGTACATACAATGACGTATATCGTATACAATAGACATGTCAGGTTGTCTATGTTGTTCGTAATGCTTTCTATCAAGTCGACATTCTGACTGTTGAATCGTTTCTACACCAGAGGTTTTTTATAAGACTGTTTTGTATCGACCCTGATTGAATTCTTGATTATCAACGACGGACTGTTGTGTATAATACTGGTATTGCAAACCTCAAGTGTTCTGACTCAGTTGTCGGTGTATACGTTAACACAAGCCAACGGTCGATACATGTGTGGGTACTTCTGTGCGTGTACCTACGGATAGGAGGTGTGACAAAGCCAAGCCTTGTTAGGCACACTTGTATTAAAACAAATACTGATGAGAACAACCAACATGTAATCAATGAGTCCTCCCTTTATACATGCTTTAATGTGATATATCAATTTAATGGAACGTAATAAAAACATAACCAATAAAAATGATAAGGGCAAAAAGGAAAGTGTTACAAAGTAGGGCGTCAAAAAATGGTTGAAATGGAAATAAAAATATAGCGATACCGCACGTAAAAATGTATGCTGCAGAAGTTTTATCCCAAAAAGAAAATGAAATAAAAATCCGTGTTTCCTCATGATGTTTCTGCATTGGTCGCTTGTCACAGAAAACACGAAAATAGTCCTGTGTAAAAACAGTATATACGCATAAGCTCTAGTGGATAATCTTGTTTATCAAACTTAGATGAAGGGTATCAGCAAAAACAACAATTTGGTGGCTATCAAATATACCAGTCGAACACTTCGGATTGGCGGAACGGTCACCTTTGTCATAAAGACACAACATCAACGCCGGCCACGTTATCATTGACTCCCCAGATACAATGTACAGGTAGCGCCAAGTACCTGACGATATACAGCGACAGACGGTCAGGAGGTCTAGCGTGGTACTCTAATAGCGCTTTTCTGGCGCTTTGTGAGGTAGAAGTGTACGGTACGTAGCTGACATATTTAACCTTAAAACGTTGTATCCACATTAGTAGAGAGTATTGAGGGATAATGAAACTTTCAGAAGTTGAATTTTAGACAAAGATGAATATTCATGAAACACTATCTAAGATAAATGGTTAACCATATTATCATTTTTGTAATATACTTAAAGTATCTGTTCAATTTTATATTTTTGTTCAGTTACAGAATTGGTGTTTTCCATTTCAGTACTCATCTTTGCCATTTATTAATGTTTGTATATCTACAAGTCAGTGA